CATTGTTTTGAAAACAAGGAAATGTTTTTGTGCTGAAAACAGGTAAAGGATGAATGCAGGGATAATTTTGTTTTTTTTTAATGAATTTTGGATTTTTTAATTTACAAATGACGTAACATTACTTTTTGATTTATACGTTAAGTTTTTTTGCGCAATCATTCGTACATACTTTTTTTCTTGCTAACTTGTTTTCCTTTAAACTTATAATCCAAGTTATCTCCTGCATATTATTGGATTATTCCAAACAATCATTTCAAAGTGAACGTTTGTAACAAATAAAAGAATACACATTCAACTCTGAAGAATACCAAAGCGCAGTCAAACGTTTGAATTTCCAACAATAATGCACAAAGAACTGTTGTCTATGTACGCCACATCGCCTACACGTTGTACACAATAGCACCGAAATGAACCGACATTCTCGCTTGTACGCTTTACATGAGAATGCATCTTTAATGTAGCCTTTCGTGTAAATGAGGCATAAAAAAACATATTTTGTTGCTGAATTCTAAGAGCAAATTACTATTGCTCACAATTGTAATTTGCTCACTATTGCTGAGCAAATTATTATTGTAAGAAACAGGACTAAATTAGGCCTCCAGGACACACAGTCATCAGACGAAACGCGGAATTGCTTCCACTTGACGCCTGTCTTCTGTGTGGTCGTGGCATTTCACCGGTCGAGCCGGGCCAATTCGTGCGATGATGTTAAAGCGGGCTCTACCACTGTCATTGTACACGAAAGAATTTAGTAGAACGTAATAGAAACATCCCCAATACTCGACTCTCACTCGTCCGGTTAGTAATTTTATGTACACTCATAAACGCGTTTTGTACACAAATACTCTACATAAATGGTCATGATCGTAAACCGCTCCTATACTCTCGAATTAATAGTGTAATTCCATTTTGAGTGCTGTATTTATCTATTTCAGTGAAATGTGCTCTAAAAATGTACAAGCGCCATCTTTGTTATGATAAAATATTGAGGTTAGTTTATTTTTTTAGGTTACTTTTATATTTAAAATAGCAAAGATAAATTTAGCTAATCAAAGAGGGAACGCTGCCAGTATCTTCGGAACCTTGCCTAAAGGGACTCCTTACAATAATATGTTTTAGGTAATTATACGTTTTTATTATTTTATTTAATATCATAGATTTAAGACTCTTCATTTAAAATATTATTTGATTAAATATGTAAAATAGCAAATATTGAATGGAAATAGATTTTATAAGTTTCTCGTCTAGATATTTTTTTTTGTATATCGTTGAATCTATAATAACTTAAAAGGAGTTGAATTGTTTTCAAATTATTATAAGTAAAGCCATTTATTTCGCGTGTTATAATTATAAGCTTTTCTTTCTAAATTCATAAAGAAATAGTTTATATGTTCTTTATTTTAAAACTGAAATAACAAAATGTAAGGTCAACATTTAAGTTTTCTAAAAAAGAAAACAAAAAAATCTGACTTATTACGAAGAGTGCTCATTAGTGTGTCCAACTCTTCAATTATTACCCAACGTTATGAAAAATTCTAGTCACATCATCTTTTGAAACTCAGTCACTATGCCAGATATATTGTATTTTGTTCCAATGTGGACGGACTTGGAAACTGGGACATCTACAGACAAGGTTACTCAAGAAAGCACGTGACTAACGACTAGTCTTACTAATATTATAAATGCGAAAGTTTAGATGGATGTACGTTTGTTAGAAGGTATCTCCGGAACGGCTCAACTGATCTTTATGAAAGATGGCACAGATATAGAACATACTCTAAAGAACATGTAGGCTACTATTTTTTTTTTTAGCTCGCGGGCGACTTCTAGTAGAATATATAAAAAGGAAGTAAGTAGACGAACTACATAAATACATATCCCTGCAAAGGGATCCTCTGCTAGGTATATATAAATAAAAAAATTGTATTGCACGAATGAATCCTGTAATATTACGACCGAACGGAGGCAAAGGTAAATACCGTGTTTGATTAAGAAGTCAGCCAACAATGGCCGAGTGGAAAGTCTATTTGACTTGTCCGAGCCTGGGACGATGTTTTCTCACGCTCACGTTTGCTATATTGATTTTCTTGTAATTACAAAACTTTAATTTTATTTCTAACCTAAACGATATACCATAATTTTGTTCCTTGATGATATATGAAATAAAATGTGTTTTAAAAATTCATTATTGGTTCATCTGGAAAATTATTGTTATCCTTGTTTGGTTCATAGAAAATGAAAGAGATGAAAATATGTTTTTACCTGTGTTCATCAGCAGTGAAAATCCACGGTTAGAGAACATTTATGTTTCTAGGTACTTATTAATTTGTTAAACAAATGAACATAACACAAACCACTGTAAATCATACGGATATGAGTGTTTTAATATTTAAAATGGTAGACATTACTGTATCATTTACCCTATTCTATTATTTATTACTTAGCCTTCAGAACGGCTCCCCTTGTTTCATTTGAAAGCCGACTATAGATCGTTAAATCTGAATTATTAAGACGATACATTGTCAGTTGTTAGCATTTATTTTCTGACATGTGTTTTTTATAAACAAAAAAAAACTTCTAAGACATCGATGGTTTAAGTAAAGAATAAAATTATCTATGTATGTAGGTAATTATTTATTGAAAGCCTAGATTGAGAACTTATATTCCGAAAATTCATATACCCTAGATTACCTTTAGAAGAAAAAGAAAACTAGAAGTATGTAACGGCTTGTAAGTTAACTTATTTATTTGAAAATGGCAGATGATTGAACTCCACAATTTTAGGACATAAAACGTGCAATTAATGCTTTGCAAAACATCCATTGTGTAAAAGAAAATCTTAATTGAAACTTGAAAACTACCATTATGGTCTTACAAGTTAAAGTTTGTTAGTTCTACGTAAGTTTACTCTATGTAAAGTTATACGACCAGTATCGATTAATCTTTCTGAAGACGTAGACTAATGCTACGCCGTAGATTAGTCTACGTATTGATGTAGTCGATTAAAATAATTAACCTCTTTTCGTAGGTTGTAGACTAACAAAGTTATCTGACCCGGTAGAGACGCTGTTATCGCGGTTCGATCTGTCAGGAAATAAGACATAGAAAATTATTGACACGTCAACTACCATTCTACTAGGATCATGTGACTCTTTTTGTATTGTCCTTATGAACCTTTGTAATTTTTCACTTGTGTCCACCGGGTCATATAGTTTGACAGGCTATATTGACCTCATTTCCCTTGGTTAGTAACAGCAATAATAGCAAAGAATATCTGCCACTCATGACAATATCAAACTCCAAGGTTTCGGCAAATTGGACGCTCGCCAGCGCTCCAACTAATGACACTACAATTCTTTTCGACGTTGCATTATGACATATCTCTCGGACATTGTTTGTGATTCAATCTTAACAGTTTCCACTGCCACTGGTAAACATACATATCTCTGTCTATTACAAGGAAAAAGAAGGGTAACAATATATGTTTGTACAGGTATTTTGGCTATAGAAACCATCATCATCATCAACCTATTGGTCGGCACGGTATGTACTACTCCTCCATACATCTCTGTTAGCCGTCATATCTGAATCTACCACCTTCCTACGCATATCATCTTTTACGCAATCCATGCGTATTTTTTTGGTCTTTCTCTACCTTTGTAGCCATCAATCAATCTCATTACTTTTTTGCTTATATCATCATCATCCCTCCGCAGAATATCCAAACCACCTTAATCTTATGGGAATGGAGATCCAATTAATAAAAATATAATTTTACATTTAAAACACCCTTTATATTTCAGATCTATTGTGAATTATTATAATATTTTCATTAATTTTATTACGATGCTTATTAATAATTTAGTTTTAATAGGATTTTATTGTATAAAGCGTCATTGTCAAAGAAAAGTCATAAAATAATATTTATCTTATCGCATAAGCTTAATGCTTTGATATTTGTAATGGCTCCATCAAATTATACTCGTCAAATATTGACCTGAAATGTGGGCTTACTCATAAATATGGTACGGGACAGATTTTTTTTCATATTACATTTTTGATATGGTTACATTTAAGGTGTAATTGCAATTTAAACATTTTAATTTATTTAATTTTGATTAATATATTAAGATGCAGGCACGATAGGAAACCATAAAGTCGTTATCTATCATTCAAACTAAAATCAAAATGAAAGATATTTTAACTACATACTAAAACTTAAATAATACTTAGTAATATTTGAGTTATAAAGTAGCAATCAAACAAAGAAATCGTAAATTTAAATCATTACATGTCAAACACTATCAGTAGCCGCCCGGCACCGGGACCCTTACCCAAATTACTCCTATACCACAGCAAATTGACACCGGAGTCGATAAATACAATAAATCCGTTGTGCACACACAATCCACAAACACGATCGTACACAACACAGCTATGTTCAATGCGTAATTCTAAAACACCGGGTCGCAAAATGGACACTCACAGCGTGGAGTTAGGACGTCGACTGGCCGGGGTTGCGCCGCCCTGCCATCGATCGATGTGCGCAGTCCCACGCTCGCGTCATTTCCACCCCCGATATCTTATGTATGAACGGTACACGATGGGGAAGAGTGAAAAATTTTTCATGTAGCCAGCCACCTAGACCGATTTCAATAGGTGCTTTCAGCTACCGATGAGATTTGCGATCCTATTACGATAGTGATCTTTGCAATAGATTTAGATTCAGTGCCGATAAGATTTAGAATAAATATTTAAGCCGATCAGTATTCATTCAGAAGCGCGGTATCTCGTCTTTTGTGGACATTAATAAATTTTAAAATTTGTAAATATAACTAAAATTGCAACTATGAATTCCGAACTTTGCATATATTTGTGAAACGGTCTTCTAGAAAACACAACACGAGAAAATATCAATGGTAACCAAAACTACCAACATAGTCTATTTAAGACCAGACAACAATAATGATAGTATAAAAGTATTGTTCAGTATATCTTACCTGTATTTCTTGTCTCGATGCCAGACAGAGACGTGCAGCATCTGATAATCATACACAGCAGTTGGTAGAGGCAGCTTCAGATGTCGCTGGAATTCTGGCTCTCGTTTCCCATACAGAACCGAAGTGCGCTGGAATATTGACCTCTGAGACGGTAGCGACTGGCTCTCATTCACATCAGTTATGACAACCTGGTAAAATTATGAAAAATATATTTTAAAATGCCATGAACATACTGTAAATTTACTTAAGTAGTCTAATAATATCATGTTTAATAACCCAAAAAGGTAATTCATCATCATCATTATCAGGAGTTTGTCCACTGCCGGACTCAGACCTCCCCATCGGTTGCTTCAATACTCGGTCCCGTGCCACCCGCATCCAATCCACTCCCGTGACCTTAGCCAAGTAATCGGCCTTGCAGTAATTGTTATTGATAAAATAGAAAATGACATCTTCGCTATAGAAAGTGTCATGTTCTTTATTTATGAACATTACCTTTGCATAAGCATTAATATCTTCCGTTTGTCCTGTTGGTCGCTGAAGATCTCGACATCGAATAACTGCAAAGACAAACAAATAATAAAAATAAATGTTTACTTTAAAAGAAAAATAAAAAAAAGTTAAAAGAAGTTCGATAGTCACCACTCACCGTGAACATCTATTGTGTCGTGTCTAGTTTTAATTTCTAGATCTATAGTTGCTTTTAATGTCTGAAATCTATCAGTACTACGCTCTAAACGATTACTAGCTACGCTTCTTCGTTTTTCTTCGCTACTATTAATACTACTTTCCTCTAGAGAATACGTCAGACATCGTCTCGTAGACTTATATTCTAATACAGGAGTTAACGCATCGTTCGTGATTATGTCTTCGTCTAATTTACTAGTTTTACTAGCCCTTTCTTCACTGAGAACATTGCTTTGCCGTTTAACACCTACAGCTGGAGTTATAGGGCTGGGTATACCATTTTCTAAAGTTAAACCAAATAATTCTCTAGATCTTATATTTTGTTGAATCGGTTTATAAGACATTAAACTGCTGTGTGAAACATTTGTTAGAATTGATGCATTATGTATATTTTCATCATCGTATACGTTGGGCTGGAACAGGAAAGGGGAATTAAGAGGCTCGCATAACGATACGTTTTGCAATTCTAATACGGGGCTGGGTATGCCCATTTCCAGAGTACGTAGTAATGAAGGTTTAGGGGAGTTTGGATCCATTTGCTGTTTACATAGACTTTCATTGCTTTTTGCAGTTTTCTTTTTACGTATACATCTTTGTCTTCTTAAACGAACGTTCCCATTTGAAGTATGTAAATCTGGAGTAGATTCTGATAGCGTGTAATGCATATTACTTCTACTACTACATGCACTTAAAGAATATGACCTGTGTAAGGGTTTATTTATATTCCTATTTTGTTCTAATTCTATGTCATCATTCAGTTTGCTAGGTGTACGAACTTCTCTTTCGTTATACCCATCTCCATCGTCTAATAGAAAACAACCTATCGGTACGTTTTTTAGTAATTTATCATTGACTTTATGAACAGGCAACATCTTCTTTGTTGGACTATTTTTAGGCGATACCGAACTTTCTCGTGATAAATTTACGTATTTAGCCTCTTTAATTAAATTTGATTTATGTTCTGTTTGTGGTCGTACAAATAAATCTTTGACAGTGTCTAAAGGAGGTTTTTCTTCTTCCACAGTCAACTTTGGATCGGGAATATTTTTTAATATTCTTCGTTTAGATTTGACAATCTTTGTACTTTTGATAATGTCTTCTATCATTCTTTCAAGTGTTACATCACCCATTTGAGTAGTCGATACTGTAGACTCAGATGCATTTGTCAAAGAATCTTTTCCTAATATAAATTTATTTTCCATTTCTGTGGAGGTTTCTTCATCTTTTAAGATTAAGTTGAAAGGGTTTTCAATTTTGGGAAAGTATTGAGTTACCTCGCTTACAGGAGTTGCCTTTTTAGTTAGATTTATTTCATGTGTACTCATTGCACTAAATCTTAGTGCTTCTAATTTTAAAGACAACGGTGTCATTGATATTGGCGAACATCCATCTCTAACAAGAGCATGTGTATCCTTTTTATCCATACATGGAGATTTAAAAGAACTTTCAAAGTCATTTGATTTTTTCCTAGTTCTTTTCAAAGGTCTTATACTAATTGGCATATCTTCATTCTTTTTTAAATATACAGGATTGTCCATAAATATGTTGTGACCAAAGATAGGTAATGTAGATTTTTCTATTTCATGTTTATCGACGACTAATGGCTTTTCTAAACAGTTTATAACTAGATTTTCATCGTATTCTATTTCAACTATATCATGATTCATTGATTTAGTTGTACATACATGTTTATTTTTACTTGAATACTTTTCTAAATTGAGAGAGTTTCTACTACTGGCCGTTGTCGCACTAAGTCTGTCCGTGAGATTGTTTAAAGATGGCTCCGAGATGCTATGACTTAGTCTTTGTGAACATAAGAGACTTCTATCAATATTATTAATTCTTCTTTCAGATTTATAAGCGCTAAGGTTTCTTGTAAAAGTTTCGCTATTGTTCAAGCTACTCATTTCTAATTTCCTCTTCTTTGCTTCTCTAACTCTTCTGCTGTATGACGGAGGAGTCGGTGGCAATTCAGGGAATAGTTCATCTTTTTGGTTATCCTCATAAAATTTGATTTGATCAAATTTCTTTACTGGGGTGACAGAGGTAGGTGTTATGTTGCTAACATCTTTCAAGGCAATATTTTCGGTATTCTTAATAAAGCCTGGTTTATAGTAATTAGGAGTATTGCCAATACAATTTATGTTTTCTTTGTCTATACATTTATTGGTATTTTTTCTGCCAGTTGCTCCCATAGATCTTCTTTGATAACGACTTGGTTTCTTACATTTCTTCACCACTTGAGCATCTAATGATCTACGAGCCCTTTCATTGAAACGTTCATTTGAATTAGGATTTTTGACTTCTGTTTGCGGAATAATCGTTTGACCATCCTGATTCTTTTTGTATACTGCCCACTTCAGCATTTTGTACCTGTAAACAAAATATTAAAAATATATTTCTATGTTCAAAGGTAATTTTAAAATCGGTGAAATTTATGTCTACGTATAACTAAACATAGTTATGTAAGCTTAAGCACGTAAGTTTAATGTTAACTTAGTTATTAATAGATGTTATAAAGCAAGATAAGACACTTTGTGAAGGCTTCCTTGAACTTTATATCGTATGATCACAACTTGGTTTCTTATCTTTTCTAGATAAGTCGTAAGTGTAATAAAATGTTAGTGCGGTTATTTAACACTTATTTTTGCTATATTTAATAAATTACAGTAACAAAAAAATACAATGAGATATAAATAGAATTTATATTATATCTACGATTGAAAAAACAGGAAAGCAATTATAGAATTTTTGTATTCATTTTCGAATTTAATTAAATGAAATTGTTGTCATTTTTTAGTGTATTTTCATGACACAGATTAAATGACAATTATTTTTACCATTAGCTTTGAATATTTTGGATTATTTTCTTTATAATATGATTAACACTATAAAACATGCAACAATACAAATAGCGCGGGTAATTTTGACAGATGACATTTACTTTGGCGCGCTTTTTGCTGAGTCGTGCCACCAATGGGCGGCCATTGTAATCTGTCATCGTGCGCTGACAGTGTGTCGATTTGTCACGACTCTGTACAATTCCCACAACCGTTAGGTACGAGGAATGTTCGTGTACAAGATATTAGAAATAAAGTCAGCATATCAGAGATTTCGCAAACAAATTTGACATATTTGGAATATAGAGCACATTCTAAATGTGTTCATTTATAGGACGTAGACGATTCCGATAGAAGGTAAGATTCCTTTACTAACTAAAAAAAGCTAAAGTAATATAGTTGTGAATTATATCAACAAGTTACATACTCTGTGGGATTAAAAGACTAGTTGTCACACGCAACTCCGTCCGCGTGGAATTATTAGCCTGTGTTCTTATAGATTGTGCTCTATGTTAAATTTTATCGAGTTCCATGTAGCAATAAAAGCTATCAGTGTCCAAATAAGATATGACCTAAAGGTTTATGTTACCAGGTCATAAAATAAAATAAAAAGTTCCATGTAGCCGTTTTCGAGATTCAAACATCCATCCGTTCATTCAAACATTCGCATTTATAATATTAGTAAGATGGAAATATGTAGGCATAGAGTAAAAACATGTCAGAAACACCAATGAAATTCCATAACCAAATCGGGTAACTTAATTAACGTAGACTTATAAATAACAAAACTCTAAATACATCAATAATGTATTAATATATAAAACGAGACAATATAACACTTATTCCTATAACATTAAAGTTGAAATTTCATTGCAATAAATAGTACAAATTGCAGTCGTTTTTGGCGATTAGCTAAGCTGACGACGTATACTACGACTTCGTGCATTTGATAGTTATAACGGTATCCGCGTGAGCCTTGGCTTAGACACGCTTTAGATTGAATCCATTTGAAATGGATAAAACGGAATCCAGATTGAATAATAACTTATCAATGTAATCCAATAGGTTTGTTGAAATGTCGTTGTAAATTCGCAATATGTATTTTAAAAAGCAACTCAAATGTATATTAATATAATGTAAATATGTATAATGTAAAATTAATGTATTTTAACAGTGGTAGAGCCCACTTTAACATCTTCGCACGAATTGGCCCGGCTCGCCCGGTGAAATACCACGACCTCAAAGAAGACAGGCGTCAAGTGGAAGCAATTCCGCGTTTCCTCTGATGAGTGTGCATCCCGGAGGCCAATATTAGTCCTCTTTCCCTTCCCACCCTTTTACTTATAAAGAAATGATGGGAAGTGGAAGTGGACTTTCCGGATGAGAGGATGCATAGGAAGGGAAAATATTTTCTTTCTGTGAATCCTCTCCTCCGTCGATTAAAGGTAGACAACGCATATGCAACTGCGTATGTCTATGGGCAGCGGTCGCTTCGTTATTTCAGCGACTTCGGGTGGCCGCTCGCTCGTTTGCCACCTTATGATATAAAAAAAAGTATATAAATTTAGGTAACGCCGAATTTCTTCATATAATTACAAGGGTTATATATAATTAAAATTAATTATGTCTATCTTATATCTTTCTTTTGTCGATTTCAAAACTCACAATCATTAAAGCTATTAAATAAGTAATAAATCGTAAGTTTAAACTAGTCTAGTTTAACCTTAAAAGTAAATTATAACTCGTGTCCCAGATAACACAGTAACAGTGATATTTCTAACAGTTTTACTGCAGATCTATAAAATTTGAGGTTAAAGACGGCTTTAAAGTTAACTCAATAATTCACTACATAACATTAAGTTTAATGTTTTGTCTTTATGTATGTCCATCTTGTTATAAGAAAAACTTTTACCGAGTAAAATATGCATAAAACTGTAATTAAATCCGTTATAATTTCATTGTATGTAGTATATTCATAATAATATTTTAATTACTTTAAAGAATATTTAAATATAATAAATTAATTATACAACCTAATCGCTTACGAATACAATGACACGTTATAATACCAAAAAATTGGCAGCGAATTAAAGCTTTGTAAACCTTACAAAATGGCCGATTTCACTTCGGTTACGCGGAGGCAATAATTCATACTTCCCTCAACTAACCAAATCGAGTGTATAATTTGAATCTCGGCTAGCATTCATTCCCGCCGTACTGACAGACACATGCTGTGCTCAGAAACCAGTGTACACAAAACGACCCCGGAGATTTTGCGAACTAAATACAACACCGCAAAAACAGGGCGTACGACTATTATCCTCTCCCTAGCGTTAACGTCAAATTACTATTGTATTTAAGATTTCTTCTGGAGCATTTTTTAATATCGAATTCACGTCTCGACTTGAAACTTGGGGTGGCTGAACAAAAAGTTTCTTATACGCCACAGATTGTATTGCGGCTCAATAATATTAAGTTTCCGATCGTGTAACTGCATAAGGTTTAGAATTATATAAAATTCACATTTGCACTGGCAACACTCTTGAATGTCAACGTATTGAATGGAACACGTTTTAGCGGATTCGATTCTTGAATTTAGTTTTGTATTTTAAGATCTGAAGATGAATACCTAAAAGTAATGTGACATTAAAATGAGTAAATTTCAGTCTAGAGGTGGTGGTATTAAGAGTGACATAAATGGCAAATAAAAAGAGTTAATATTGCAACGTTTGCCAAGTACTAGAACCGGCTTGTGCCAAAACGGATACTTTTTTCTTTGTATCTTGGATGATTTGACAGTGCAAGTTTGTCGTCGGGCTTTTGAATTTATACATTCTGTCCCATATGGATCGAATATCAATTGAATGTTAAATTAGGCCATTGGTATAATCGCGTACTAAAGTTTATTTGAAAATGTTTAAAATTAAATTCTTACACAAATGTTTTAGATTTGTCAATTTTCCTAATCCTAAAATTTGTGTTAATCAGAACGGAATCATTTTCCCATTTTTTTACTTTTTACCCTTTCCTATTATCATATATTTTTTTAATTACAGGACTCGGTCCGCTCGGAATTAAAAAACAGTTAATTAATAGTCTATGTATTCTTCCAGACTATATTCTTGTAATATTTAACCTATGAAATAAAATTACTTGATCGTAATAATTTATTTTCAATTATTCCGGTACTGTTCTTACTATATTATATATCGATTGACAATGTTTTTCGGTTACGCCGGCAGGTGGCGTACGTTTCATGAATAATTCAGATACGTTGTTGCGTACGTTTCCCTCTTTATTACGACAAAATAAATACATTTCTGGAACATTTATATCGGAAATTATTTAATATGCGAACGATACCGGAAAATGTCATGAACGTGATGGTGAGCCGTAAAATTTTATTCTTAATGTATATGTACATGACTGTACATTAATTTTGAATGTAATACGAGGTTTATGAATTTTGGTGGAACATATATTTGCATGCCGTGGAAAGTACAGGAGAAGTACAACAGTGGGTAGACCAAGGCAAAGGTATTTTGTCAAAAAAGAGATCTACCGTATAATAAAGTTTCTAACGCTTTCAGATTTATAGCGACATTTTTATTTACTTCCAGATAAATATGCGAATATTTATATGGACAGATGGATGGATGTTTGCTTGAAGGTATCTCCGGAACGGCTGAACGGATCTTGATGAAATTTGGCACACATGTAGAACTTAGTCTGTTAGAACACATAGGATACTAATTAACTTTTTTAATTCCATGCGGACAGAGTTGGAGGCGACAGCTAGTATTTTTTTATCGGTACTGTTCTCTTCAATAAGTTAAGACTCCAAACACTTTATTAGTAAAATGATTACATGTAATCTAATAGATAAATCAAATCGTAACACTTCGTAGGATTGTAAAGTGACACGAAACCGCGTTACAAAGTAAACGTTATCCAATAAACCACTCAGTATTTGATATCTAAATCCAAACTAAATATCACTTAAAACAAATTAACACAATTGTATGGCTTTTGTTTATTAAAAAGAAAAATGAGCCTTAACATAATAGATTTACGAACTATAAATGCAGGAAATTCATACGTAAAGTAGCTTTTAAGAACAGGGTTGTCACCTTCATAGCAATACATATAAGTTTATAATGTCATTCTTGATTCGTAATTTCTAACAACACAAATTTAAGATAGGGTCAGAGCCCTTCAGTGGCGACCTACAGGGAGCTGATAATGATGATAATTTCTAACAATGGCAAAATTAAAAAAAAAATGCTGTACTTCAAGGTGTTCGTTTTCATCCAAGATGGCCCTGAAGCTGAATTAAACTTTGCTCTCTCTACTCAAATTTACTTTAATTTTCGTGGAGTACTTGAAGAAGGGATGTAAATAATATTATAATTTTGTTACAAGAGGCAACCCTGTAAGGTAACCCTTTGGTACAGTAGTGTGGAAGTCAAGAGGCGCGGGCGCAGCTGCCGCACGCCCCCACTTCAAATTAGTAGCGCCGCCGCCGCGATAAAT